TGTGTGTGGAAACGGATATATTTTTCAGGATTTGTTGATGAATAGAAAGCTCAAAAGAACAGCATTTATTTAAAAGAAAGATCTTTTAAACTTTATAAATGTCTAATACTGTCACTTTTGAACTATTTATTACAGTCCTACTGAATAAAAGTATTAATTTCTTTATTAAAAAAAACAAAAACGTTCTGACCCCAAACTTTTGAACAGTACTGTAGGCTTTAATTTGTCTACCATACTTATTTTAAGTGTTTTAAGTATAGGCCTTTACATCAGGGTGTGCCAAGGTTATTAATAAATAATAATAGAAAAAATTATTAAAATAAATCAAACCTAAAGTTGTTTACATATAGTCAGTTTCTTTTACATGAAGTGTCATAGGTTTTAATGTGTGTTTTAAGTGGATTGTCATGTCTGTTTCTGTCAGTATGTCAGCAAGTCTTGTCCAATGACATGATAAAAACCATCCTGGGGAGAATTGGAGTCTCTCTGATCTTCAGGTACCACAGGACACGAGATTGGAATAAGGTGGGAGTGTGTCCTGTTTGTGGAAGCGTTCTGTACAGCAGTGAACCTTTGACTGACTGCTGTGTGTACTGTATGTCTTGCATGTGCTCAGGGAGTGAAGCTGGTTAGTGTGATGTTCAGACTGCACATTGAGTTCATCACTCTGAAAGGGCTTATGGGGAATGAGAACAGGGTGTCTCGCTGTCAGCTGGTCACTATGGCAACGGAGTTCTTCCTCCATAGCGGGAGCTTTGAGGGAGCTTTGAAAATGCTGAGAGGTAAAGGGGAGATTTTGTGTATGCTGTTCAGAATCAGTAAATAAGGAATCATTTGTGTATGTGTTTCTGTTCCTTCAGCTGATGGCTGGTTTGTGAGCTCCAGCATGTGGCCTTGTGAGCAGGCTGACATCGAAAATCGAAAACATGTCCTGACGCTCTTAGCTGGGAAGACGTCACACAGGGACGCCTTTGAGATTATTACCAATTTACCTGGAATCAGACAACCGATAAGTGAGTTATTTATAAATATCATCTCTCATTGCGATATACTTCCGTTCAAAAGTTTGGGATCAGAATTTTTTTTTTTTAGTGTTTAAGAATTTTCTTATGCTAGCCAAGGTTGCATTTAATTACCGTAAAATGTTTTAAAATGTATTAACTTTTTTCTATCCTATTTCTAACAGTATTTATTTTCAATTCAATTTTAGTTTTCAAGTTTATTCAATTCAAGTTTATTTGTATAGTGCTTTTCACAATACAAATC